TTTTTTTCGCTGTCTTCCCACTTGCTATTTATTCAGAAGCTTTTCTATTTTTAGTCCAACTGTTGCAAATTTAAAACAACAGTTTGCCTTAACATTGATTACCCTCCTTGCTTTTTTCTTTCTCATTTTTCACGGTGACACTTCTCCAGATTTTTTTTTATCCCATTTTTTTTACGGCAAAGAAAAACAAGGCACAGAAAGAAGCAAACATCAGTTAAGAGGCATCTGAAAAAACGACAAAACGAGAAGAAAAATGAAACACATTTAAGATACATCGGTTAACGTTCCTTTGCTGTGGCTGTAAATAAGTATGATTATAAAATAATTTGATTACTTTTCGTTCCTTTTTTTAGCCTTTTCTTCATCTTCTTCTTCTTCTTTTTCTTCTCCTTCTGCTTCTTTTTTTCCACCTACACAATTTAATGACATTTTTACAATTCTTTTCTATTTATTTATGTATTTTTAATAAAACTTTTTACTCTGAAATTTTTGCAGAATACTTGTAGCATTAGGCAGAAATAATAACAAAGAAATTTTCAATGCAAGTTACATTTTTGGTAAAATTTTCATAATTTTCCTGATAAAATACTTTTACACCAATAGTAAACAAGTGTGGGAAATAACTAAATGCAGCAAAAAAATTTCTGTTTTTTGTTCACGGTTTACTCTTTAATTTTGGATGTTAAATACCGTTTCCGAACTAAAAGATAGTTAAAATCAAAATTGATTTAGTTTCATTCTCCTAAAAATTTTTACTCTTACAAAAGCAGTGAATCAGAAACAGGAAGGAAGTGGAAAACATAAAAAGTGAGAACGGAAAACCAAAAACAACTCACCGATAATATCGGATACTAAAAATGAAAATGTTCATTGTTCTCAACAGTGAATAAAAGGATCTCTCTCTTTCTTACCGGTTCTGTTCTTGACTCATTTTGTTTTCAGTTTTGATACCAATTCTGTATTTTTTCAAAATGATGAGCTTTTATCTGTCAGATTCTATATCAGCACTAAGAGTAAAAGTTGAATAACAAATATGGCAACACCTATTTCCAAAAAAGTCAACGCTAGCGTTAAGGCAGTAACTGTTCTCATTCAACAGCAATTCAATTTAACCTCAATTTTTTTGCTTTTCCACTTTTTCCTCAGTAAGTCATTCGTAAAATAATTTTATTTTACTGATATTTTATATTCACTTTTTTTCAGTTTATTATAACCTATTTTTCGGTCAGAAAAACAAAGAGAGCGTTAGAAGAAACATCTCATTTGATTGATAAAAAGCTCATTTGATTGAATAATCGTTTTGAATAAAGAAGTGAGCAAAGAACTGAAAGTAAAAAAAACAGCATATATTTAATTTAATGTACAAAACAGTTTCATCAAATATTTTCAACAATCACAACTTAGTTGCTGCTGATGTGTACAGGCTTAAATGCATATCACAAGAAGCGTATAAACGTCATCTTCCGCTGTTGTTGTTCCAGAACTAAAACTCTGACTTTATAGAACGATTACTGATTAACAGAACTTTGTAGCATCATTTAGGATCACACTTTTATAACACTAACACAACTGTTTCAGCACTTATACGATATGGTTTATACGTTTTTTGAATGGAAACATCATAAAAGCAGTTTAAAAATGACAGATGATAATGAAAACAACAGTTCAAATAAAACAAATATTCTTAGCACTTTCCATCCAAGTTTCAAGATCAAAATACTTTGAAACAGTGTAATTAGTAAATCTGATACTCATAAAATGTGTCAAACACAGCACTGCATTGTAAACTCTATTTCGTTTCATAACACTTCTTGTATTTGACACTGATCTGAAGCTTTCAATTAAGCAGAGTTATCCTTAATCATTTACACTATCATCTTATCACGTGAAATTCAGATCAGATTTAAACTTTCCACACACCCACCATTTTAAAGTACAGCTTTTCCTACTAAGACACTGAGATGCACTGTTCAACACAGCTCAGATCTCATAATATACGACAAGAAAAGTTTAAGTCTTTTTTCTACCTACACTCTTCTCATCGTTCTGCTGCGACATGCCCTGGTCTGTCGAAAAATTGAGCAAAAAGCATAAGGCTCGGGCTAGTGTAAAAACCACAACATACATCTTTCCGGGTGCTGCTCTTTTGACTAAGTTTATTGGAGGCTCTGCTAAGCAATTTTTGAACTTCACGAAATCAAATTTGTCTGTACTTTTCCACGACACCTCCTCTTTTTCCCCAAATACAAATGTGTTCAAAGATGTCAACTGCTTCTTTTATATCAGCTGATCTTTTGAATTCAGAGTAATTCCATTAATATCAGTGTTAGTTTAAAAATACTCTTTGCATAGCGCAAACGTTTCTCTAATTCACCACTTCCGATCCTCCTCAGCAACTGGTTAAATTACTTGTCGACAGTTCGCTATATTTTTTTTGTGCCATAAGAGGTCGAATTAAAATTTTTATACAAATATATCAAAAACAAATGATGGACATTTCTTATTTATATATTTATATTTATGTGTACAAAAGTCCAAGAAACATCAAAAACATATCTTATTCGTTGTTGTTGTTGTTGCTGCAAAAAGAAAAGTATTGCCAAAAAAAAAAGAGC